TATCAAGAAAAAAAGCTAGTGGTTGTCTTGGGTAGTTCTGTAGGGTAGAAAACAAGATAGGAATGAAATAAATGAAGCTCCTTTTCCATGAATTATAATCCCCTCAAGGACACTTTGAGTACTAGAGATTCAGGATCCCAAAATGTATTCATACCATGAATAATTAAATGGACCTTTAATGCCAAAACAATGCAATTACAATCATGCAAATTCAGTGGCACACAATTATAATCCACCCATTAGAGCTCTTTGGTACCCTCTCTAAACACTGTATTGTGACTTTTACCCCCAGGACATGAAGAAATGAATTACAATGGCTAATCTCAACACAGTAGAGCTGAACTAGAATTCATTGTAAAACTTTAAACTATTTTGCATTTAATTAAACTGACCAAATTATTTATCCTAACAAAGTATTCATACAATGTTCAACAACTGGATTGTGAATGGTCACTATCTAAAGATAATTTTTACACATTTCATTTTCCTTTGACCTTTTGTTTTATTATTCCTTCATCTTTTCCAAAAATAAATATATATATGGAATACTCTTCCCTCAGGATATTTCACGTATTTGATAAACTGGACAATGTGCCAGAAAAACTAATAGGATTATAAATTTGTTAAGATGTTACAATGGAATTTATTATTGTAAATATAATCCCATGAAGAATGCAAGGAGCCACAGTTCAAAACATTTAGAAAACACAACATTGTCTACTGCTATAGAATATAAGTATATGTTTAAAAGTGTACCTCTGCTATCATACAATACCTCTAAATTTGGTATTTCAAATAAACATACACTTTGTTTTAAAAGTTATATTTAATTTTTAAATATAAAGTTATTTAATAAAATAACTTTATAATAAATATAATAAAAGTTGTATTATGATTTAATTTTTTTCCACGTTTCAGGAAGTTTTCCACTGCAATCCTAAAGCTTACTTAAATGAATAATAAGCTGATTTTTAACCAAACAGATTTTCAAAAAGAGGGTTTGATATAGTGGAAATGGGGAAAAAAAGACAATAGATCTGTGCCTATCAGCCAGCTGAGAAAACTCTTATTGAGCTGGGTTGGAAGTGTCACAAAGGAGAGTCAGAACAATAACCAGAAACAACAATACTGTATAGCAATAGAGGACAGAGATAGTTGCTTTGTCCTACACAAACATAGTGACAACCTGGAATTCAAAATACAAGAAAATTTTTATTATTCACTGACATTTTTTATTAAATGCAGAACTGATTAGTAACTGTTCTTGCAAACTCTCACAAATCTCCCAAAGATGAAAACATACAATCAGAAATCTCTTGCAGTATTCCACTTCATCTCAGTAAGGCCCTTATTTAAAAAAACAAACAAACACCAATCTCCCTGCTACATAAATCCTATGCTCAGGGGGGGAAAAAAAAATCAAGTGTGCATTCTTATTATATATAATTTGTTTCCTTTTGGTCAGCTTTCATACCACCTGATGGCCAAAATAGAATATTTGGGGGGAAGCGGATCAGAGTATTCGAAATAAAGAGTCAAAATAATTTAACCTGCAGAGTGGAGGAGGGCTCAACTGCAGGGAAGATTTAATGTGTGTTTCATACACATCCAGAAAATTACAAGGCCTGTTCTAGAACCCTTAATTACTCAAACTGATTCCCTGTATCCAGGTCTATATTATAATGTTCTTAAGAACTACTAACAGTCTTTCTTTACCAATCAGAAATTATAGACAGCAATGACCAAGAAAATGAAAGCCAATTTGGTGTAGTGGTTAAGACACTAGCAAATTCCATTCTTGCCTTAAGCAAAAAGCCAGCTGGGTGATTTTCTACTTTTTCTAAACTCAAGGACAGACATGTCCAACCGGATGCTCAGTGGCCAAATGTGGCCCTGGACAGCTTATAATGTGGTCCCATAAGATATTTTAAAAATGCTAAAAAATAAAGGAAGTTTTTTTATTTATATAATTAACTATATCATATAGTTTGTGGCCTAAGACAATTCCTCTTCTTTTATTGCAGCCCATGCCAGCCAAAAGGTCATGCACAGTGGTTGCTACTCTTTTTGCTATCACGTACCAAAAGCAGGGGGAGTGCGGGGTGATCGCGCACATGCGTGCCCATACCCATAATTCTATGTGCCTTGCCCCCCGCGCATGCATGCGTCATCTCCCGTGCTCCCCCCGCTTTTGGCATGTGATGGCACGGTGGGCCTAGTAGGCCCGTTTTTCGCCCTCCCCAGGTTCCAGAGGCTTTCTAGGAACCTAGAGAAGGTGAAAACAGTCTTCCCCACCCCCCTGGAGACCTTCCGGAGGCCGGAAACAGCCCGTTTGCCAACTTCCGGTGGGCCCAGAAGGCCCGAAAATCAGCTGGCCAGTGTGTGCATACATGCTGGAGTTGAGCTAGGGCAACACTCACGTGTCCACCAATATGGCTCTGTGTGCCACCTGTGGCACGCGGGCCATAGGTTCGCCTTCACGCTCTAGGATGTAGGCAATGACAAACCATTTCAGAAATCTGGCCAAGAAAAGTGTAGGAACTTGTCCAGACAGACCAAGAAGACTCAAAGGTCAGTAGCAGCACACAAAAACTAAATAATAGATATCTAAGTTAAATTGCTACAGGTAGTCCTTGACTTACAACAATTTGTTTAGTGACTGAAGTTACAACGGCATTGAAAAAAGTGACAATTTTTCACCTACAACCGTTGCAGCATCCCCATGGTCAAAATTCAGACGCTTGGTTCCTATTGATGACGGTTGCAGTGACCTGGGATCATGTGACTACCTTTTGCGACCTTCTGACAAGCAAACTCAAGGTTCACTTAATAACTGCAGTGATTCACTTAATTGTGGCAAGAAAGGTCATAAAATGGGGCAAAACTAATTTAACAAATGTCTCCATTAACAAGAGAAATTTTGGGCTCAATTGTGGTCATAAATCAAGGACTACCTGTAGTTTAAAATGACCAATGCTCAGAGGTATTGTAAATAAGTGCCGTGAAATGTGTTTTCAATGCCTGAAAAAAAGTTTTAAGGAAGTTGGTATGAAGACTCCTTGATAGCATTGAGGATTGTAGCTTTGTATAGAGGCAAAAACTCTCCCATATAAACCGCACCCACATTTCATACCATAATTTCCTCTAATTTCTTATTCTAAGGGAGGAGGGGAGGAAGTCAAGAACTTAATCCCTCCCTTTGGTTTCTGCATTATTATGTATCCTTACGATTTATATTGATATTGTTTCCTGATTGCTTATTTGTACCCTACAACTATCATTAAGTGTTGTACCTTATGATTCTTGATGAACCTATCTTTTCTTTTATGTACACTGAGAGCGTATGCACCAAAGACAAATTCCTTGTGTGTCCAATCACACTTGGCCAATAAAAAAATCTATTCTATTCTATTATTATTTTTATTTTACAGTGAAAAAAGGAACAACAACAGTGAAGATTGCCTCTTTTAAGTTCTCATTATATAAGGTCCTACACCAGTTTATACTTGACTCACAGGATGTGGAAATACTAAGAGCATAAACATAACTAGACTGTCAATAAAGCAGGAGGCGGCCACGCCTGCCGTCTTGGACCCAAGAAAGTTTTCCACCAGAAGGGGAGCATCGGCTCTCTTCAGCGTACGTTTCTTCCTAAAGGCCAACCCCGCTCCTCCCCCCCCCCCCCCAGTTTGGTTTCTTCCAAGCCGGGCCTATTTCCCAGCTCTGCTCTCCAAAGCCTATCGCCGAAACGCAGGAACCTTCCCCGAATCCCACTGGCAGGCATTACATCACCAGCAGGGTACGGACGGCTGCTAATTACCTCTGCCTTCTTTCCTGCTTCCCTGGCTGCCCAGTAGGAGGAAACTTGGAGCTGAGCTAAACAAAGACTCAGCGGGTTGCTTGGCCGCTTGAGAAGCTCCCGAGTTAATCGATCTCCGGGGACTGGGCAGCCAGCAAATAAAGCGGTATTTTGGGTTATCCTCCCCTCGCCATCTCCAAAGGGCCGGAACCTGCAGGAAGGCTCGGTTTGCACGACCGAGCCCGGAGTAGCCCTGGCACCTTTTTAGCCTGTTGTTCCAGAGAACTTGAATCGAGGAAATCAGGGTTAAATTAACCATGAATAAATCGTGAAAAGACAAAGAGAAGTTCAAGATGCTAGTGTATCAGGGTCTGGCACGCACAATATACTAGGCAGGCCTCAGAGGCTGCTCCGTTTCCCATCCCCGACGGAGCAAGTGCCTTTCTTGGGTGCGCCCAAGAGCTAAGCGGCACTGTGCATTCTTGTCACCAAGACAAAGCGCCGAAGCGAGGTGATAATTATTACACACACACACACGCACGCACACACACAAAACCAGGGCCGAATCTATTTCGATCTGCCAAAACCAGAAAGCGTTTCTTGGCTGGCAGCGAAGTCTGAAAGGACAAACAAAAGGCAGCAGATTCTTTCATTCCCCCCCCCTCGTCTTCTCCAATGAGGTGCCCTCGGATTGTGTCGAACCACAAGGCCCCTCATGATCCCCACCGGGCCCGTCCCGCTAGTCGAAGGTTTCCCATCGAGGTGACAGGCTGAAGGTCCTTTTGGGGGAGGAGAGGGCACCTTGAAGGCGAACGCACAGACGTCTCCCCCTCGTTTCAAACCCCGCCGCGTCCCTCCAAACCCTCCAGGGTGGGAGTGTGGGAATGGGGGGGGGGAGGGGCGAAGGGAAATGGAGCATCTCCAGGGAAAACAGAAGCAAACAAGAATCCGCTGTGCCCAAATTTTACGGCGGCAGCGAAGGCGGCACCGCTGGGCACCTGCCCCCAAACTATCCGCAGCCTCCCAGGACTCGGCCCTCCGGCAATCTTTCCAAGAAGGGGGGGGCTGGGATGGGGGTGGGAGATGATCCTGGACGCCAGCCAAGTCCCCCAATTTGGCTTCTTTCCCAGCCGCCGTGTTTTCTCCCGGGCGCTCGGACTCCCGCCCCCACCCACCCAAAAAAAATCCAGTCAGGACTTACAAAAGCTCCGCCGCTGCTTGAAAGGCCGGTCCGAAGGCATCGCGGCCGGGAACCGGACAATACCGAGACCACCGCGCCTCGGCACGGACGAGAAGGTCGTCGTTAAGACTCAAAAGAAAAACAACCCGCTGCCGCCGTCGCCGCCTTGGGGAGGGCAGGGGAGGTCTCTGGAGCCCCCGAAAGCAACTGCCGCGACGCCCGCCTCCTCTTCCTCGGTCGGCCGACGCCGTCTGCTCCGGATCAGATAGCTGAGCCACACCGATCCCCGAAGGTGGCAGCGCAGCGGTGACTTCATCCCACAACCTCCTTAAAGGGGAGGCGCGCGATCCCGCCCCTTCTGCAGTGCGGCCTCGTTGCCAGGGGCGCACCGGCCTCAGCCCCAGGCTGCCCTCGGCGATCTTGCTGGCACTCTCGGCCAGCAGACTCGCTTCTCTGCCCCCCCCCACGTCACCTTCCCGCCCCCGGAGAAAGAAAGAAGCCGCGTCCAGGAGGATGTTATAGAAGATGATGAGTAACACACAAACACACACACACACACACACCCCTATTAGAAAGCATTGCCAGGAGTTCATCTAGCAATAATCCCAGAAAGGACATTTGTTTATTCCTTTATTTAAAAGCAATTTATTATAATTAATACTTCTCTTTTAGCCGGTCCTGAACAGCTTTCAGTTGGATGTTACTGAGTTGCAGCACAACTGGAAAAACTGGTCAATGGCAGCAGAAGTGTCATCTTAAAAATTAACATATTTATTACATTACTGTATAAGCTTTGGTGGATCACACGGGTTTGATATATAAGGCTGTTTTTGTTATGATTCACTGAAAATACTGATTTGCTGGATTAAGTCTTTTAATTAAAGATGATCTTCCAAGTCAGGCTTGGAGAAATCCAAATGCTTTCACATTTTGTTTGTACTTGATAAACATCTTGATTTTTAGCCATGTAGTTGCCCTGCCCCAGCGCCCAGGAAGTGACACTGAACATGGGGAGACTCTTCTCATCACAAAGTATCTGTGGAGGTTCTCAATCTGAAGCGAAGAAATTTCTTGGGTGAGAAGCAAAACATTGTCAAGGAAAAAAAAATCCCCCCCCCCAAAAGTACAGTTGCCTTTTGGAAAAGCAATTTTGGGCTCTCAACACAGATTGGCTTTTTTAGGAAAAGTTATTTGTATTTGTGGTTAGAAGACAAAGTTGAACTCTGGTTCAGGCTTCTGGATGAGAAGGATTTGAAGAGAAGCTTCTCACATGTACTTGATGTATTTATAGCTTCTAGCTACTGAGAATGCTACTCCCCACTTTATTCTGAGAACAACCTGAGGTAAATTAGGCTAAGTAACTATGCCAAGAACACTTAATAGCTTAGAAATTAAACATTAATCTTTGCTATAAACAACATCTACCGCTGCATGAGCTTGGAATGTGTAGGTCTTTCAACTGCCTTATATAATTAGTTTTCTGCTTGTTTATAAAAGCTGTAATCTTTTCTGCCTTTTCAGTGGTCAAAACAACAGCTCATTGGTGCTGCATATCAGTTGAGTTGAATTTTCAACCCTTTAATAAAATGGCAAGTTGCAGTCATGTGATTTTCCCTTAGTGACCAACTTGCCTGTCCCAATTGTGGTCACTAACCAAGGACTATTGTAGTAACTTGAAATGTGGCAATTATGACTGATAGATTAGATGGACATTTTAAAATGATTCAATCAAACCAGCGCCCTTTACCATTTCGGCTTCAGAACCCCTTTTCAACAGTTGAATTACGTATTCCAGGAAAAGAATTAGCTTTGTTGAAAAAGGCAGTTGTTGACTTAGCAAAGTTTTCAGCTGCAGAAGTTATCAAAGGCTTTTTTTTCCTAGGAAGCTTCAGCAGGTCAGAAGCTAAGCAAGCTGGAACTGGTGTGTATTTGAATGGGAATTCGCTAGGAAACACCCAGGCTGTTTCACTGGAAATTTCAAAAATATTTTAAATGGTGTCAGTGACAGTGAATCATTTAAGAACTTTTGTCCAGAAAACTATGTCCGTGAATTCACAGGGAATTAAGTTTGGCTTGAAGGAGATTTGACTTTCCCTGTTTCTCCTGTGCTGCTACTAACTGTTGGCAAAATTATAGGATGGGGTTTGCTACCATAGTTTGTCTGAAGTTAGAAAGCTGGCAGGCCTCTTGTATGGAGAGGGAGCCACCTAGTGATTGTACAGCAACATCACTGATTGCAGGATAAATCTGCTTTTAGGGCTAAGAGCCATAATACTTTTAGCTAGATTGCTAAGGTTGCACTTTAACTAAATGTAATTTCACTTCCATTACCATTTAGTTCAGATATTATTAATATGGTTGGTCTTGAATTATGGATTTCATAATATTGCCTTCCATCACATTAACATTACACTTTTGGAGAACGTAGGTAGCTCTAGAATTTTAGTTTGCATTAAAATACCAGTTTATGGCTTAAGATGCTAGGGAAAATGAGACCCTCTTAAGTTTATTCTTGAACTGTCCATCAATATTGGTTTAATTGGGATTGTAGTCACAGCATTCATGTCTAATTGAGAGTTATATAAATACAATTGAAGCTATTTTATATTACAAATGCATGTATCATGCATCTACTGTGGAAAAAGCTTCCTTTGAACTTTGTATCAATTAGCTTGCTATAGCCATGTGTTCAGTCAAAAGATGTGCAAATTTTAGTAGGGGACATATTCCCCTATTACCTTCCTCCGAAGGTCATGCCACATATATGATCTGAGCCTTCAGGCTGCCCGCCCATCACAGACTGGGAACATAGAAAAAAAAAACGAGAGGAAGACTGTTCACGTATGTTGAATGTAGCTCACATATTTATTTTCAACTGGTCTATTCATCTTTGGAGGTTTAAAATGTCTACTGTAGTAAACCAAATTTCCTAAATATATAATTTAGAGGGATTTTTGCCTGCCCCTAATCTACGGACAAACAGATTGAAGTTACCTTTCCTACTGGAATACACTAATATAAATTTCATGGCACTTATATTTGTGTGTGTGTGTGTATCTTGTACAGAAAGGATTTACTTCACAATAGATTGACTAAATGACCAACAAATTGTGTTCCATATTCCTGACATCAGTAATGGAAGGATTTGGTTGAAAGGGTACACCAAATATTAGAAGCAGACTGATTTTCAGAGAAATATTTCAATAGCATAATTTCAAGGAGGAAAATTCTTCAAAAAGCATGAGAAAATTTTACTGAAATCAACACACACAGGTTTGCTTGATTATTTTAATTTGCTTTAAAAGAAACAAGTGCAAAATAAAATAAAAAAAGATTTACAGTTATTACAAGTGTTTTGAACAACGTTGTTTAGTTACATATTTGCTAAAGAAACCTTCCATCTTTGATCCTCTTTTTGATTTCATGTTTTGTCTTCTCCATGGAGTAACCCTTGAGTAATTTGAACAGACTCCTTAAATATCTAATATTTTAGGAAAGGAATCTGAGATATTAACATGGACAATAATTATCAGTGTTAAATAAAAATATACAATTAAGTAAAAGGAATGCAGGCCAGTTGGGGAAACTTTCATTCTGTTGGATTCTGAATGACAATCAGGAAATAGTCCTTATCTGCAAAAATACAAAGAATTATGTTTCAATATTTGGTTATTACTGTTAACTCATAATAACTCTTTTATGTCATGTTACACTATTTCAATTGTAGAGAGATATTATGAGCTTTCCTGGCATTATCAGTTACAAAGAAATTTGGTTAGTGGCACATGCTGAAAAGGACTTCTTTATGAGGTTTTGTTATGGTACACATAGTCCTTTTACGACTGTAATGGAGCCTGCCTATCATGGTCATAAGTGGCGACAGTTGATTTTATGACCTGTTTTATGAAGGTCATTGACAGTAGTGGGTTTCAATTTAGTTTGCTACCAACTTGTTCGTGCGCAGAAGTGTCCGGGCGGGTGGGCGGAGCCTCCCGCCACTGCCGCTACTAGTTTGGCGAATCCAGGGCGAACCGGTAGCAACCCACCACTGGTCATTGAGCAAATATGGCAGTGGTGAAGTGAATGCCATGGTCATTAAGCGAATAATGGTTCACAATGAGTGCAGATTTGCTAAAAACCGGAAATGTCAATTTTCAGCAAAACTTTCGTAAAACGCTGTCACGTGACTGCAGGATGCTGAAAAGAATCATGAATGCAGCCAGGTCAGTCATGCCTGAAGGTCAGTCATGCGACTTATAAGGGAGAGACAATTGGAACTTTGAATCCAAGATAGATCCATCGTAACTTTGAATGGTCACTGGTTGTAATTTGGGGACTACCTGTACTAGTTGGAAAAAACAGTACTGGACAAAGCAGATTATAAATACATACACATTCCTCACGTGATTTCCTTTTTGGAAGCACGGTTATACAGAATACAGAAAGGGAATATGACATAGTAACCCAAAGAAATAAAGGCACAAGAAAAGGCTGAACATAAAGAAACATGTGAGGTCAATAAACTACATAAAAAATTCACTCAAATATTACAAACATTAGAGTTGTTAGACCTGATCTGACCAACAGCCATATACTGCAACGTTGGTTCTTAAAATGAAGCAATAGACTTGATTGATATCTAGAAAGATCATTTAGAACAGCAGCCGCCAACCTTTCTGGCTTTGAGGACTGGTGGTAGGGGGGGAGGGGATGGTTCTGTACAAGCGCGCACACAGCTCCATTTGCACAAGCAGTGGGCACACGAGCCGATTGCTCATGTAAATGGAGGTGCCTGTGTGTGCGCTCACCTGCTGCATGTGCAAGTGGAGCTGCACACATGTGCACACTCACCCACCACTTCTGCAGAAGGTCTATGATAATTTACCATGGCTAACTCTCCATGAGCAACTTGCCACAGGACAACTTGCTGCGGGACAAGAGTTACACTTAATATCAAAGAAATGGTGGATTCGAATCATTGAAGAAATGATGCAAAAGGAGGAACAGAATAAAATGTGAATGGCAATAATTAAAATATTTTTTAATTTATTTTAAATAATGAAATAGAATTGCTACATTGCCTCACAGCGAGTTGTCCTATGGCAAGTTGGCCATGGAGAGTTGGCTCACTAATTGGCCATGATGAGTTGGCTGCAACAAGTTGGCCATGGTGAGTTGCTGTAGCAAATTGTCCCATTCCCTTCCGTGGACCAGTTCTGATTGGACCACAGACCTGGGGTTGAGGACCCCTGATTTAGAACCCATTCTTACCTGAATCTTTTAAAGAAAAACTGTGGTACAGACATAGATTGCCTATTTCTGTTACATTTGGAGACAACTCTACCAGAGGCTCCAAAAGAACTCCCTCCCCCCCCTTTTAATTTTACCTGGTGCAACCATGATCTCATTTTTCTTGGAGC